TGGAGGGGGGGAGCGAGAGTGTCTTATTTAAGCATAAATCAAAAACCCTTCCCTGGCTGGTGGCTCCAATGCTGTGTCGGTGCCTGTGAAACAATTAGTCTAATTGTCTGACTTCTCATCACGAGCCTCTGCATGGATGCAAAGTGATGCCTTAATCTGGGCTGTGCCTGGCGATCCATTCAATTTCTGTCAAGTTGCACGTCTCTCACGTAGGGTCTGTGAAGTCAAGTTATTGCAGCGGCTAAATGGGCAGAGCCATTTGCTGGGGGAGGGGGCGTGGGGAATGCAGGAGCACGAATGGCTGGTACCTTCCTTCTCCCCTCGTCTCTTATAGGGGATGCCTCTGCCTGCGCACGCATGCGAGCTCCGTGCTCCCTGGATCTGAGCACAGCTTGGGGGTCGGCCTTCCCCGAGTATGGGCGTACAGCGTATACCTGCACGCCTAGATGTGGAAATCCTTGGCAGTATCATTCTGTGGTTGCATAAAGATAGGCATATCTGCATTATCTGGTTTTTAAAAGACTGTGGGTGAGGCATTGCGATTGGCACCATAGGAATGCCTGGGAAAAGGTGCCTTATACGCGGCATTTTTATCCTCTTTCCCATCCCAGTGCCAGTTTTTGGATGCTGGGCTTCTCATCCAAGGAAGCATTGCCTTTCTTCCCCACCCCGCAGTGGATACCGCAGCGCATCGCAACATGCTTAGACTGGCTTCTGCCTATTAGGAGGCATCTGTAATAAATTGCTGCCAATGATGCTGGCTGCATCTTCTAAAGGCAGCACGTGCCTTGGTTACGCTGCGCTCCATTGTCTTATTTTATAGCGGCAGCTTTCCTGGTTTGCTCTTTGGGGACGGCGCGTTGGCTTCAGGGTCTCGGTGAACAGGGTGACTGGGTCTTTGCCGGGGCTTCTCTTTCGGGAGCCCTCGTGATCAGCCCTGAAGTTGTGGTGTGCATTGTTAAACAGGTCCCTACCCCCTACTGAGGCCAGCCGATGAAAAGACCCAGGTGCCCAAGTCAGAGGGAGCTGCTTGCTGGCCCAGTACCCTCTCAGGATGGGACCCCATGGATGTACGGCTTTGTGTGAGCAGGCGCTCGTAGAGCCTGCTTGAATGAACTGAGTGGAGCGTAAGGAGAAGGGAGTATTTAGAGCAAGCCCTCGGATGCTCTTCCCCTTTGAGGCATCTATTTATTCCTGAATGTGGAGCGCTCTTGGCAGATCCTTCCTGGCCCAGTGCATGGGACCCTTTGTCTGCCGTGGGGGAAGGGAGCAAATTAAGTTTCTTCCCTTCACCTCTGACCCTCCCGGGCTGGGGGTTAGAAGTCTGCGGTGCTGATGTGAGCAAAAGGCGGGGAACTCCCGAAATGCTGCATCACGCTCCAAGATGAGCGATCCCAGAGATGAGCCATCCTTGCTTAGTAACGTGGCGACTTTGTGATCCACAGGGAAGCATTAAAGGCGAGCGGCTGCAGATGTGGGGATTCAGGAGAGCAAGGCTGAGTGGATTCTCCCGTTCATTATCCTTCCTTGCTTTATCCTTTGTTTGGATTGTTTCCATCTGCTGCTGATATTTTCTTCTCCTTTCTATACCCATGACTTTTGCCCTGCATTGTGTTACACAAAGGAGAAGAAAGTTGGTGTGATACTGAAAAATTATTTATTCTTAAGCCATCCAGAGACCACGTAGCATCAGCCATTGTGGAATAAGTGCCTGGTCCCAAATACCACCGAAGTTGATGGGAATTGGACTGATCCTTGAAGTGTGG